TAATTCAGCTTTCATAGTAAATATTAATATTTTAATTTGAATAAACTATAAAATAGATGCTGTGATATCAACGTTCTTCTGCACATGCAGGTTGTAAGCTGCTCACACAGAAATCTGACTGCAGTCGCATCATTTAGTATAATGAACTGAAAGAATAAGAAAATAAAAACTGAACATCAAGACCTGGTGTGTGAGCGTAACCTTGGCGACCCAACATGCCTTTCTGTGCTGCAGTTCTCGAACAGTTAACCTGGTGTTTTTACACACTTTGCCATTTTCTTCACTGTTTGTGAAGATCATCTGAAATCCTCCCTCAGCTCTGTTTGTCACAGTTTCCGTTGTTTTAAATGTTTTAGTTATTCCTCAGACAACATCTGGGCAAGTTGAGATCAGTAGCTGCTCTCTTCATTTCTATATCAACACCTTTCTGCATAATGTAAGTTTTGAAGTGTTTGCCGTTTCAGTGCCATGTTTATTCTAATAGTACTTGTGAAAAGATGAGTCTGGTTCAGCTGTTTGATCTGAAGCGTTTACCTTTGCTCTTGTTTTTCTCCTCCGCTTCGCTTCCTATACGAAGTTTCTCTCTCCAGGCTGAGGAGGGAGAAGGAGTGTACTGCTGAGGTCAAAGGTTGTTTTCACTAATCTAGCAGGCCAGCTCCCCCCCATCTCCAACTGTTATCAACACTAATTTAAACGGGAGTAACACTAATGAGGGCAACCTCAAGAGACCCTGCCAAGAAATTATGGGGAGTCGCAGCACAAGTTGGGTTTCAGTGTGTTTGTGCAGAATGAGTCACAAAGTCAAAGAGACTCAATTAGTTTGCTTCTTTCTTCTGCCTGTAGCTTTAATTTCAAAGGTCAGATGAAGTCACTTTTTGTTCTGCACAGATTTGTGGAAATTAGCGATTTAATACATGTGACACACGATGACTTGAAGGGGACCTGCAGTGCAAACTTCACATTTTGGACGATTTTATATTTCCATTTGGGTTTCTGCTGATTAAAAAAAAAAACACCCAGACGGTTTTTGGCAATAAATTAATGTTTTTTAGTGCCTAGAAACAACAACAACAACAAAAAAACGTTTTGAAAAAACTGCCTGTTACCTAGCAACCCCAGCAGAGTTCTGCCCGTCACCTAGCAACCAAAGCAGAGCTAAAGAGCATTAGGTCAGCTTGTTTTACTGCTGTACAATGGCTGCTGGAAAAGACAAGCAAAAACTCAGTTCAAGGGCCACAAATGGTCCACGGGCCACACTTTGGACACCCCTGCTTCAGTTTCTACCTTTGAAATGAGGAAACTACGTCCTGGAACGAACTTGGAGTGGATTCAGTCCATATCTGCGTTTCCGTTACAAATGTGTGCAAAACTCTGGTAATTTTTTGATAATGTAGAAAAAACACAATTATGGTGTTTTCATTAAATAAGAAGTGGAATCAAAATCACAGAATAAGTTTGTTCACATAAGTCATTAAATAACATCGTCCTATCACTTCCTGTTGCCTTCTTCGTCATTTCTGCCAGTAGTAACATCCAGTTGTAGAAAACTTCCTCATCCTGGTGCAAAAACTTTTTATTAAAAATCCTGAATTTTTTTTCTATTTTTCAAACGTGGCATTTCCATGAAGCCAATTTCATTCATAATTTCAATTTCAGAATTCCAGTTTGTGCAGTTTTATGGTCACAGAAACGCAGCTACTGTCGAGTTTTGCACTTTGTGCTGAAATACTGTTGTGGTTTGCATTATTTTTGGCATTTCCTCTTTCAGGAAGCAACATACTTTTTATTTAGTTCATCAAAGGGCGTCTTTAAATGGATTTACCCAGCATTCATTGCAACATACACTGCTTTTATAGTTTGGGTCTGCAGGATTTTATAAACTGTGTTTGCTGCTTTTCACTGCTGTGAAATTAGAGGTTTGGATGAACTGCATAACCTTTTTATTGGTTTGTACCCTGCTGGTTTTGTTGATTCCTCGCCTGGGTCTCATTGTTTTGACTCCTCTTTTGACTCCAGCTCCTCCTGGACGCAGTGAGCAAAGAGTTAAATGTGTGTGTTCGTAGCGCAGCTCCTGTGTGGGGATCTGGTGGGACGGCTGCCAGTTTCACTCCTCCTCCAGGGCGCAAACTCTGGAATGTGTTTGAGGAGAACCAGAGAGATTTCTCTAATCACTTTTATTGTTTTGCTCTGCTGATCCTGATCCATCAACCTCACAGGGCCGCTTTGTTATTTTTAGTCCCATCTACCGTTTGAATAGATTTATGTTCCTGTTAGATTCCCGGAGAAATATAAAGAAGGCTTTGTTGGAGCTCCATCCATACCATTTGTCTTTCATAGAATGACATCCCATCAATCTGTGCCTGGTGTTTTCTGAGCAGTCATTACAGGCTGATGACAATCGCTATCTGCGTCATGACAGCTTTAAACATGCAGGGTGTCTCTGCAGATTGATGCTGCTGAGTGACTGCAGCTGTTAGCATTCACAGCACAGAAAGCAGGAAGTAAGACATTAAAATGTAGCTGTTTTTGACTTTTGACAACGATTGTCTTCCATAAATGCCAAATTTGTAGCATGTCAATACTTTCCTCCACCTGAGCTGAAAATATCTGCAGCTCCTCCAGATACGCTCTTTACTAAGGAGGGAATTTCTTACGTTAGTTGGATGTGAAGCGTATTAGGGCCTTGTAGACAGGAAAAAACTTAGGAAGTTTCAGATTAAACTCAGAATTTCTCTAGAAAAAGATATTTCTGAGCTGGAAAAGTCAAAAATATTGTATTTGAGAAATTTTATAGAAAAACCTCAGAAGCTTCTGAGTCTGAAGAGTCAAATATTTGCTAGAAATTTTTTAGATTTTCTTTGAATAATCGATCATTTTTAACTTTTGAAATGTCCAAGTTTTTTCTAGAAATTGAGATTAATTTCAAAATGTGATTTGTTTTCTAGTAATTTTTTTTTTTACGTTTTAGTCTTAAAAATTTGGTTGTTTTTCTTTCTAGAAACTCTGAGATTAATTTCCAAATTTGTCTGAATTTTTTGGTGGAAATTTACTCCTCATTTATGCCGTCATAGTTGGATGGCATTTTATGTTATAATATTCCAGGGTGTAAAATATGTTCTGCAAATCTGATGATAATCTGAGAGAAAGTAACAACATGCTGGATGATTTTGTTATAGTAAAGTATCGAAATTGGGCAAAACTGACTCACCTTTCCTCTTGTTCAGGCTAAATAGTGTAAATGTTTCAACGTTTGTCTCATGTTTTATTGGGCGTCAGCGTTGTGTTGGGCTCTGCTTCAGGCCTCTTGGAGTTCGGAGTGGGGTCCATCCAGTGACGCCTCACCGGGGCGTCCGGCGCGCGCCAGACGGCAGCTGCATGTCAGGAACGAGTGGGCGGCGTGGAGCGGCTGGTCTGTCTGCTCCCGCAGCTGTGGGGGCGGAGCCTCGGTGCGAACTCGCACCTGCATCACCAGGTGATGATCTGTCATCTGGTCTTCAGGGAATTTTTTGTTGCAGTTTTTAGTAAATATAAAATGTTATTATCCTTGACTCTGACCATCTTGAGGTGAAAAAATGTAGTTTTTATGGATTTAGTAACAAAAAAACATCAACATTTACTTAGTGAGATTAAAACCTTTCATCATGTTAGTTTAGGATGAACTTTTAGGATATTTAAATGTAGTCTAAATATTTAAATTCACATTTTGCACATTTATGCTTCCTTTTCAGTCTGTACTTCTAATAACAGCCCAAGTGCTTAAAAAAAACACCCATCTGGTTTTTGGTAATAAGTTGAAGGTTTTCATTTCATTTCACTTTGGGATCAATAAAGTATTTTTGAATTTAAATTAGAATTTTTGTGTCTGGAAAATGAACAGTTTCAAAAACCTCCAGAATGTAACGTCACATATCTTTACCCGTTACCTAGCAGTGGGGTTGCTAGGTAACAGGGACTGCCCGTTACCTAGCAACCCCTGGCAAGCCCAGGCTGTTACCTAGCAACCCTGAAGAAGCCCGGGCCGTTACCTAGCAACCCAACTGAACCCAACAGAACTGATCAGACTAAAATCTCATGATCCAAGAATAAGTTTGTGCAAAAACATGTAACCAAAAGTGTGATATTTCTGTTAATAAGTTGTTTTTGTGTGCAGGAACCCGGTGGGCGGACCGTGTGCCGGAGATCCCAGACAGTACAAGATCTGCAACACCAAGGTCACTGCAGCTCCAGGGTTTCCTCCCTCAGAGAAAATCTGTCCGTTTTACAACAGTGGCCGATGTTTGCTTTACAAAGGCGCGTCTGAGAGGCATTTCAGGGCGTGAAGTTTGGCTGGTGCATCAGCCCGAGTTTTCACACAATCAGACAGTCAGACGTGTTTTAGTTGTCTGAGGAGGCCGCTGGTAGGCTGCAGCGTGTTGTGTGTGTGTGTGTGTGTGTGTGTGTGTGTGTGTGTGTGTGTGTGTGTTCGGACAGCCGGTCCTGATAAGGAAAAACTAACAGATGAGTTGAAGCAGCTCAGAGTTTTTCTCTGATATTATAGAAAAAACACATCAAGACTCAGCAGAGGATGGATGGATGGATGGATGGATGGATGGATGGATGGATGGATGGATGGATGGATGGATGGATGGATGGATGGATGGATGGATGGATGGATGGATTTTTGTCTCTGGTTATCTTTTATCTTTAAAATCAGAAGTTATATTTTCTCTTCTCTGTCGTATCTGGATGTAAAACTTCTGAACCTTTCAGGAATTTTTCACATGATCAATCAATCAGATCTGTTTTATTTCTCTGCTTTAGTCTCAAATCATTTTTGCTCATCTAGAAACTAAAGTGAAACATTAAAACACGATGAAACTTTAAACCAGCTGTAATCAGAAGTTCATCCACATCGTCTAAACATGAGCTCAGCTTTTTATAAAATGTGTTTTTCTTGTCTGCAGGTTAATTCTGATGATGATCACCACGATATTTCAGCGTCTCATGATGCATGTCTGTGTTTGTGCAGGTGTGTCCTCTGGGCTCGGAGGACTTCAGAGAGATGCAGTGTGCTGCGTTCAATGACCGGCCGTTGGTGTCCGGAAACTCCTTCAGATGGACAACGTTTCACGGAGGTCAGCATGAAAAGAACAACCTGAGCAGCCATCTTGGTTTCCATCGAGAGCAAAATGCTACAACTTTACAACCTAGAACTAGAATACTCAACTTAAACTGTCTTCTGATTGGTCCCTTAGATTTGTTACCGTCCAATCAGTTGAAAGCAGAAAGATTGATGTTATACACTGCAAAAATGCAAAATCTTACAGAATATTTTTGGTCTAGTTCCAAGTTGAAATGTCTTGTTGAAATAAGACAAAACTAACTTAACTAACTTTTCAGCAAAAAATCAGATCTTGTTTGTAGTTAATAATTTATTAAAATTGATTAAAAGTATTTGTTCCACATGCAGATTATTTCAGTTATGTAAAAAAAATGTCTTAAGTGAAATACTGTGACAGTGCACTGAAAAAGATTTAGTACATTTTTTACATGTAATCAAAAATGAACAAATTACTAAATTTGTAACTCAATGTTGCAATTGAGTTACAAAATGAACTAAATGTTTGAAGTTATATCACCTGTTTTATTTTTTCAGTGTGGAACTAGTTTTTCATTAATGTGTTTTTAAATGTGTGGTTTTGTTTAATGAGTCGTTAAAGTGGTTTGCACTTCAGAGCCTCCGTAGAATTCAGATTTTCCCAAGTTGAACAAAACTGAACTGTTTCTGATTTGTGAAATATATTTTTGCGTCTTGTTGACTTTTATCACAGCTGGGAAGCCTTGAAAGCTCACAGGTGTCTCCTGCTGCAGGTGTTATCTGCCAGTTTCTTCCAGATCTTTCCCATTTCCTGCATTTTATGCGTCTCTCTCCCCCCAGTCCTGTTTCCTTTTATCATGTCTTGTTCCATAAAGACAAATGATTTACTGACTGCAGCTTTTCCCCGCCAGGCTCCAGCCCCTGTGAGCTCAGCTGCCTGGCGCTGGGACACAACTTCTACTACAACTTTGGTCACGTTCTGGACGGTACGGCCTGCGACCCGGAGGCCGGAGCCGTGTGTGTCAACGGACGCTGTCTGGTAAATGACAACAACACCTGGACGTGTGTCCAGTTTAAAACTCATCATTAGTGAGTTTCACACATTATTTATCAAAATAAACATCATAGAAACCAGTCAAAAGTGCTCTGGGCTAAGAAAATAAAAATAAAATCAAGCACAGAAAGTAAAATATATATATACTTTTTTTTGTAGGATAAAGGATCTTGCATGTTTGATATTAAAAATAATAATAATATTAAAACTATTTGGGCCAACACACTTTTTTACATTTAGCCAAGTTTTTATTAAATTAAATTATTTACGTGTAGCAAAGTCAGCTTTCCAGTAAAAATCTTTGAATAAAAAAATATGTTGTTTTTACGTAACATTTTCCAATTTAGGATAATAATATTTATAATTTTACCCAGAATAAAAATAAAAAGTCTCCTTATGCATAAACCATCTGCAGAGAATCTTTGCTTTTGCACTGCAAAAACATAAAATATCACAGTTTTTTTTCCTACTTTTTAATGCAAATATCAGAAACTTGAAATAAGACAAAACTAACTTGAAAGTAACTTTTCAGCAGAAAATAAGAGCTTGAACTATTGAATCGATATTTTTTGAATATTTGGGGCCCATATTTTGCTGAAAAGTTACTTGTGAATTACTTTTGTCATATCTAAAGTATATTAAGATATTTGTACTAGAAACTGGACCCAAATTGCTTGTAAAGGTTCTGGGCTTTTGCAGTGTGTTTTATTTTAGCCTTTGCTTTGGGTTTTATTTAAATATTTATTGATTTTGTAACTCAAATTGTTTGCTCTAGAAATAAACTGTAACTTGACTGGTTAAGAAAACTGTCAGCTACATTCAGTTTTATTTGATTTTTCTCAGAGTTTCATGTCTTTGTTTGATCTGGATCGGCTCCATCTGTGAGTCAGCTGAGTGAAAAACAAACAGCTCTTCTCCTTCTGGAGTTAAACGCAGGTTAAGTTTGGGAAACGCTGGCCTTGGCTGCTGAGGACGAGGTGTAAGTGATGCTGACCGCTCTGACCGGAGCTCTCAGGAGAAGTGAGTCCCACGCTGAGCATTTGGGCCAGAGTTCACTCATCAGAGTGGACTGCAGCCTTCAGGAAGCATTACAGCTCAGCTGAGTCTGCAGCAGGTTGTTCTCACACAGATGGAGAAGGCTGGAGACTAGCGCGGATCTGCTGCACAATATGTGATACTCAGGAGAGACATCTGCTAGCAGGGGGGACGCACAGCTGAGCGCCAGGATTACGGAGTCTCTGTGTTTACATGTGTCGATGTGTGTGTTTCTGGGCATGCTCTCTACGGCATTTGGTGTAAATAAGCGGATTTATGGGCCGTGGTGTCGGGCAGGGAGAGGTCAGAGCAGCCGAGGCTGAAACAGGAAGCAGATGCAGCCTGCAGCTGGTGATGAGGAGCACAGGTCAAAACGTGAGATCAGTGACCAGCGCCGGTCAACTCCAGGCCTGGAGGGCCGGTCAACTCCAGGTCTGGAGGGCCGGTCAACTCCAGGCCTCCAGGACCGGTCAACTCCAGGCCTGGAGGGCCGGTCAACTCCAGGTCTGGAGGGCCGGTCAACTCCAGGCCTGGAGGGCCGGTCAACTCCAGGCCTGGAGGGCCGGTCAACTCCAGGCCTCCAGGACCGGTCAACTCCAGGCCTCCAGGGTCGGTCTCCTGCAACTTTTAGGTGTGTCTCTACTTCAACACACCTGGGTCAAATAATGAGGTCATTAGCAGCACTCTGGAGAACTGATCTACACCAGGAGGAGGTAATGAAGCCATTTCATTCCTGTGTTTTGTACCTGTGCACATCTAAAACCTGCAGGACAGCAGAGGACTGGAGTTTGACACGCTGCTCTAGATGTACATACTGAAAGTTTGACACATTGGAGGCAACGCTAACTAAAAAGCTACTCATGCTAACAATAACCCTAATGTTTGCTAATCATAGACATTTGCAAACGTTGATTCCAAAGGCAAATTAAATAAATTATTTATTATTTGCTAAATAATAAATAAGCACGTTTGGATGTATCTAGAAAAACTGATTTTGGGGAAGCACCAAGCCTTTTATAAAGTTAGCAAAAACACTAAAGTGGTCATCTAAAAATTAGTTAGTTAGCATATTAGCAGAAACCTGCACAACACTCCAAAGTATAGATTTGCAGTTGTGTTGATCTGTCACATACAACCCCAGACAAAATACTATTTTTGTGGTTGTAATGAGAGAAAATGTAAAGTATGTCTGAATGTCGCAGGATTTCTAACTGCGTCTAAACTCTGCAGTGTTGAAAGTAAACAGAAAGGATCCCAGAGCGGCACCTGGAGGCATTTAGAATAGCATAGTGTATTGGATATACTGTCAGGAAAACAGTTTGCTTCTCAATTCAGAGAGTTTATCCCAGAGTTTATCAGCCCAGATAATGAACAGATGCTCAGCTCTTAGGTTAGTCATTTGCTGGTTTTGTCGCTGCTTTCCTGAGGCCCAGTGAACTCTGTGCTACTATGTCACTCATTTCCTGTTGTGCTCACACAGACTCTCAGGGTGTTTTGTGTCTTCAAAGCGGCTTTCTGAGGATGATTACAGGTTCTCTAGATTGTTTCTCTCTGGCCTGGGAACCTCCCCGTTGATTAACTCGCTCTGCAGAGATGAAGGCGAACAGGGAAAGCAATCATCGCTCCTCCTGCAGGATGCTCCACAGGCTGCAAACCATCCAGCTCATCCTCTTTGTCTTTAGCTTTGACATTTTTTATGTTTTACAAAACAACCTCTCCAAACTCCTGTTCCCTTATGAGCCCCAGAGATGCTGTTTTCCCCCAAATGTTAGCTGGAGACGAGGAAATACAATATCAGAGGCAAATAATCCGAGCCTGAGGGGACGATTACTTGGCAGTATCAAAGCTGAGTGCACTGTAAAAACACAACATCCTACCAAATACCTGCTGTAGTTTCTAGTGCACTTAAAATAAGACTAAACTAACTTTCAAGTAACTTTTTAGCAAAATATATGAGCTTGTTTTCACTAATAACTATTGAATATCGATTTAAACGTATTTTCTAGTTTCTATTTTAATACACTTGAAATAAGACAAAATCAACTTGGAAGAAATTTCCAACAAGATATATGAGTTTGTTTTAAGTCAGTAATTCTTTAATATTGATTAAAAAGTAATAATTTTCATTCATAACAAGACATTGAACTACCTTTTAGTGGAAATATCTTAGAACATTTGAAATATGATAAACTTAGCAAGTAAACTTAACTTGTTTTATGTCTATAATTCTTTAATTTTGATCAAAAAGTAGTTACACTGGCAGATTTATTAAGAAATTGTTGACTTAAAACAAGCTCTTATCTCACAAAAATTTTACTTTTGTAAGTTAGTTTAGTCTTATTAAAGACATTTACAGTAGAAACTGGACAGGACTTTGTGTTTTTGCAGCGATAGAAAGGTTTCCCATTCATGTTTCCTGCAGAAGCCCGGCTGCGACTCCATCTTGGGTTCGACGCAGCGGGAAGATGCCTGCATGGTGTGTGGAGGGCACAACACCACCTGTCTGCACCACAAGAGTGTGTACCAGAGCAGCGGGCTGGAGGCAGGTAGGACACACAGACACACACACACGCACACTCGCACACACACACTCATGCCACACGCCATCATGTCTTTCTGTCTCAGGAATGCGATGAAGTGGTTTCAGAAAGCCGTGTGAGGATAATTCCTGCCTCTAGTCTTCCTTTCACACCCAACAGCTATTAGTCATTCAGGCTTATTTAGCAGAGTGTTATTACCCGACTGAGTGAATATTAACCATGGAAACAGCTTTGCAACACAAAGGTGATTGGCTGCTTTCCCAGAAGGGCTCCAGCTAACGGCACATTTAAAATGACTGTGGTTAAGATTTCAGGGAGAAAAATCTCCCAGCAGTTCTGGCTCATTGCCACCGAAACATTTTTACCTCTACTGGCATCTGCAGGTTCACGGATAATATAGGGTCTGACTGCATGCTGTGGAGAAAACTAAATGTTTTTCTTCCCTTGTATCCATCTGCAACAAACCTTGAACAGGAAATAGTAACAGCTTCAGGCAAACTGACGAGTGATTGGAGGGTTATCTTTTACAAGCTGAATGTTGTAAATTTTACAGCGCCTTGTAAACCGAGAGAAATCATTGTCAAAATGACGACATTGTGTGATGATTATGTATTAAAGTATTACAATATTAGGATTATTTTTCTATTTTTAGTCCCAGTGATAAAAACCTGCAGGGTTTTGCATCTAGAAGCTGCATAAGTTTTAGGTTTTTGGGGATATTTAGGACAGTGTCATCTGCATAGAGGTGATCGTCTTCGTCTAACTGAGGCATGTTGACGCGTTTGTGAAGAATCAGAGACAAAAATACTCCAACTTTCATTCTGTAGTCAAGTTCCTACAAACACCATTATTTGCTGGTATGTTTCTAATAACTTCACATTCGTCCCAACAACCTCAAATTCATCTGGTTAATGTTTAGATCATTCATCAGTTTGCAAGTATAGGAAAATAATTTCTTCTCTATTCCAGAAGCAAACAGGGATTGTAGAAGCTGCCAGTGGACGTCCTAAATTTACTAAAGCAATAAATAAACAATTAAACCAAATATTAATATAAATTTGCGTAAAAATGTTGTTTTAGGCATATAGAAGTGTCAACTGCATAGAAATGACTGTGTCCACCTGTAAACATATCACTGGTAAGATTTAGTCACACATGATGTTTCCGAAGCTTCAGAGGCAAAAATACTTTGACTTTCACAAGTCAAATTTAAACGTTTCACAGAAGTGTTTAACTTCCAGAGCTAGGAAGTAGAAACAGGAGCAGTGTCTTGTTAAAATGATAAAGCTTATCATTATAATGAAGTTTTGCTTCTGCTTCGGTTTCTGTGAATTCCTAAAGCTTGTGTTTGTATTTGCCAGGCGGGCCGTTTGGATACAACGAAGTGACGATGATCCCGGCTGGAGCCACTCACATCCGAGTCACCGACAACAGCAGGAATTATCTGGGTAAGAGATATCTCTACCTTTCACTCGCTTTAAAACTTATTATTACATCTGCTCCCCGGAGACCCGCGAGCGGCTCGCTGTCCGTCTGCTTTCTGCACCAGGCTTCTTCTTTCCAAGTAACATAATCTCTAAGGTTATCTATTCTCATCGCTGTGTTGGCGACGCAAATAAAACAGACCCAGAATGGCTCAGGCTGTGGTTTGGGAGGGATGCAGAGCAGGTGGAGGTGCCTGTTTTCATCTGCTGCTATGGAAACCGCCTTAAATAGCCACACCATCATTTGTTCCTCTGTCACCCTGAAATCTTTAACAGCTTAGCCTGAAAAATCCATCACAAGACGCATTTGAATCGGTTTGCACAAATACTCAGTAACTCCATTCACTGTTATTGATCGCCAGCGCTGCAGAACGGTCGATCCCAGTTTGTGATCAACGGAAACTGGAAGATCAGCGTTCCCGGTGAGTACAGCGTAGCTGGAACCAAGCTGCTGTACCGGCGCTCCGCAGACACCTGGGAGAGCTTCGAGGTGCCTGGACCGACCCAGGAAGACCTGCATCTGATGGTAAGAGCTGTTTCACTAAGCAAGGCAATAACAACCAGGGATGCACTGATCTATCGGTGGCAGTTTCCTTAAATTTATTAGATCGGTGGTCGGCCGATATTTAGATTCAGTGTCATGTGAAGCCGATCTTATCTACCTCAGCAAATGTATTTGGTGGGAAAATGAAAACACTGTTAAACCAAACTACAGAACACAAACAGTCAAAGAATTAAATGTAACTATAACTATTTATTTCTCAGGTAATTTGCTTAATTTTGAATGAAACAGCTCTATATCCTTGCTAACATTAGAACAGAAAATGCAATGAAAGAAAAAAATATCCCTTGTTGTCTCTTTGTGGGGAAATTCAGGATTACCAGCAGTGAACAGGAAAAATAGAAACATGCTGATTCACACAAAGCTAAAATATAAATACAATAAGACTCTGTACACAAGGAACAAATTTACAACATCAGAAAAAACTGCTTAGTCCTTGAAGTTGGCATACTCAGAAACAATTACTGTCATAATTATTGGTTTGGTTTCACTGATTGGTTGGTTGGCATCATCTGCTGAAGTGTCAGGTCCCATAAAGCCACCAGAACAAAGAGCTGATTTTATCCGGGGGATAACAGCAGGATTATGGGAGTTAAGGAGAATCTGTGGTGAGCAGCAGCTTTAAAACTCCAAAGTTAGCATAAAGTTTAGTCTGCTTAATTCAGACTGGAACAATGAAAACGCTGAGCTTCAGCTTCCTTCTTCTCTCATCTTCCTGCTGGTTTTTTATGCCATTTAACAGACCAGTTTAGCCCAAAACTGAGTCAGTTTCTTCCATTTGTTGTGGTTTTTATAAACACAAAACAGAGGTCAGTATTTATAAACTATACTGTTGATATTAAGACGTTTGCTTGCAGACGTAATAAGGCCATGGTTTGAAGAGAGAAAGTCATTTCCATGCACCGCTGTCCTCTGGGGAAACCATGACTCGACTTGCTTTGGAGGGAAAATCGTACAAATACAAACAACATTAAAGCCGCAGAAACTTCTATGAAAAATAATTTTTTACATATTTGTTAAAACTGCCACTATAGTAACAGTATGGTGTGAGACAGGTAATCTGAAAAAATCAAACTCCTCTATCTTCTCCCAGTGCTAAATAGAAACAGCCAGTCAGAGCCAAGAGGCGGATCTTAGTGCTGTCAATCATCCTTGTGTGCTGCTGCTTATGAAACAGCTTTTCCTCGTCAGCACAACCTGTCGTTTCTGCTCAGGCTAGTTAGCGTAGCCACAGATGATGGCACATAAACAGCTTTCTTGTAATGGTAAGTTGTTTTTCTGCCATTAGCATATTTAGCAGCAAAATATATTTTTTATTAAAGTTACATAACACAACTTTAAACCCTTTAGTTTGAATCCATTTCAATCCATCGTATCAAACCAGAAACACCAATGTAAACACTACCAAAGATGTGCGCTCTGTTTGGTGGGTTAACTGATTCATTTACTAATTAGTAACTGATTGGTTGATTTATTTTTTATTTTTTTCAAACATGATTCTGTTTTCTTGTGTTCAGGTTCTGGCGACAGACAGAAACCCAGGAATCGAGTACGAGTACTGGCTTCCACCGGACCAGTACGCCCAGTACCACGGCAGGAGGAGCCCTCTGCGACAGGCTCACCACACAGCCAGCTACTTCCCCAGAGGCCAGCCCACCACTCCAACCACGACCTCCAGGGCGCCGCCCAGCACCGCCCGGAAACCCCACTGGTGTGAGTTAAACACAGAGGCATGCATCTTCTCACTAAAGTAGAAAAAATGTATAAAAAACTGAAAAATAAGAATAAGATACAGTACAGTGAGGGCAAATCTACCTAAAGTATGTGCAGGTAACGGATAATTTAAAGTGGACCTTCTATGCATAACTCAGGTTTTGCATGTCTTTGTACTTCGATTTGGGCCTTTGGTGCTTCAAAACCCCAAACCTGGTGCTTAAACAAACCATCCAGCTGGTTTTTGGTGTCTGGAAAATGAGATGTTTCAAAAACCTTCCGTCACAAATCAGCAGCTACTGACCCTCAACTCACCACCCCAGTGAAACGTAGCTTATTAGCTAGCAACCCAAGCTGAGCTCCAGCATGTTTGGTCAGTTGGTTTTACCAATATATATTCTGTACAATGGCTGCTGGAAAAGACAAGTGTTTTGTTGTTGACCTGCCAGAAACGTAGTCAAGAAACAACTGGGTGTTTGTTTATGTTTTAAGCTCCTGTTGTTTTTTGAGGCAGTTGAGACCCAAATGGAAGTACAAAAACTTGCAAAATGTGAATTTTGACTGATTCGTCCCTCTTTAAGAGCCATCCTTTAATGTCCATAGAGCAACTTTCGGCTCCGGAGCTGCAGGTTGATCTTTCTGAGAGGAAACCACAGAGCCAAGCTTAAATTGGTTCCAATTATTGTAATTGCACAAATTAGAGCGAGCCCATTTGGGTTCAGTGAGTGAAAACATCTGTGGTGATTCACCTTTACCCCACTGCTGATCTGCACGCTGACCTCCCTGATTCAGAGGAACGCAGCTGCTTTATCTGCACTAATAAGTGTGGATCACAAACATGCTGGACTCCTGCTCACCTCCCCGATGTTCCTGAACCACATGGAAATCTGCTCCCAATCCAAAGACTTTCGCTCCATCCGATGAGGCCATGAATCTAAGCAGCTTCTTGGAAAATCCTTTCCAGCTGGTGAATCTCAGCCAAACTGAACCCATCTCAAATTGTTGCCAGAAAACGCAGAGAAAGGTGAGCCTGGAGGCAGATTTATGAGGTTGGATGGTGCAGTCGTCCTAAAGTATAACTGAGATGAGAAAGCTCTGTGAATCCCTAAAGTCAATCAACACTAACAGCTTTTGACTTTTAATATGTTTCTAAAATGCTCCCATGTCTTCTTCAATAGTACTTTTCTTTTGGTCTTTATTTCTTGTTTAAAAACATCTGCAGTTAAACTCTTTTTAAAAAAGTGTCATATTAGCCTGTGACGCTGCTGTCATAAAAGCTGCCAGTTGCATAAATTCTCTCTGCTGCTGCTCCTTAAACCATGTCATTTCAGGACAGTCAATATATTTATGAATTCTCCTCAGATGAATTACTTTTATTTATTACATGTTCTTTCTGTTTTAACCATTTATATCTGTGCAGAATGGTTTACAGATGCAAAGGTTTTCCTATTTGTCCTACAGAACTTCAGACTTTAATGCGTTTTTTGGGATTTCTTGTAAAAGTCCAAAAAAACATACAAATAAAGTGGAAGGAAAATATAAAATTTGTAACATTTTTCACAAAAAAATCAGTATCAACAACAAAACACTTATCTTTTCCAGCAGCCATTGTACAGCGCATATAGTGGTGAAACTAACTGGCTAAAGTGCTGGAGTTCTCCTTGGGTTGCTAGGTAACGGGCTGATCTTTGCTGTGGTTGCTAGGTAACGGGCTGATCTTCCCCGGGGTTGCTAGGTAACGGGGCAGTGCCTGCTGATTTGTGATGTTACATTCCAGAGGTTTTTGAATTAGTTCATTTTCCAAAAACCTATGGATAGAAAAAAGTTGGGTGTTTAGGACAGAAGAACATTTTCTTAAGTGACACTGGAATCATGATCAAAAGAAAAGTGACTTTTCATATAAGAAAACATGACAAATTAATTATCCAACAATCCTGAAAAACAAAACAAAAGAATAGAAAGAAAAAGAGAACTTTAATAGATTAAATAAAAAAAATAAACAAGTTTTACAAATTAAATTAAAGTATGAGCAGCAGGTGAGCAGATCGATCCAAATCATTGGTAAAATAGATACCAAGTCAGTATCAATATTTTAGTTTTGTACCATGAAAAGATTTACCTAAATATGTAGCTTATTAAACTTTAAGAAGATCTGCATTCTGTAGTTCACACCAAGCTGTTTGTTTTCTGTCTTCCAGTTTTAAATGCCCTAAATCCTCAGCGTCTCCCGGCTCCCGGCCTCCACCCGCAGCATCCTCAGCAGCCAATCAGCCGCCTGGAGCGCGAGGAAAACCACAGGAACCTCCTTCCTCTGGCTCCACCCGGAAGTACGAGCGCCGCTTCCTCAACGACTCTTCAAAATGTTGCTCAGACTTCATGGAGTTCTGCAGAAACTTCAGCTCAAACATAAGCTGCTGTTTGTAAAGCTACACAGTCAAAAATGAACAATATTCCAGTTATTCAGCCTTTCATCATTTTAACCAGGGGATTTATTTTAAATGTCAGTTTCAAACTAAATATAGTAAAAGTTTAGTCAGAATACTAAATATTTAGCTACAAACTAAATAGTTATTTTTATTTTTTAGCTTGTTTGTAGTTTGAAAACCAATTAAATTAAGTAAATTAAATATTTAGCTTGTTAGCTAAACATTTAGTCAGAAGCCAAAGGTTTAGCCAGCAAACTAAATATTCAGCTCCAAACAAAATATGTATCTAGCAAGCCACATATCCAGCTTCAAAATATATTTGACTATCAAGCTAAATGTCTATGAAATATTTATGTGAAGCAAAACATTTTGCTTAAAGCTGGATATGCAGCTTGCTAGCTAAATATATTTGTCTGAAAACAAACATTAGCTTTTAGCTAAATATTTAGTTTGCTAATTAAATAAATTAATAAATAACATGGTGAAAATATGGCTTTGAAAAATGAATACCGATTTTTTTTCCTTATTACAGAATAAATAAGCCAAATTTTCTGTTAATTTTTGACTGTGTAACTTTATAAACAACATCCAAAACTCAAATACATTTAATGAGAAGAAAAACTGATGCAACTTTTCATTGTAAACATGTCAGTTTAAGAATGTTTGGGCAAATGGCCCTGAAGATATTTTTATCTACAGCCTTATGGTCTTCTGACTTCCTGACTTTTCTTCTTCTTGGTTTCTTCTTTAGAGAATTGTGGAAAATGTCAGAGAGTTAAAGGACGAAGGGAACGCCAGAGACAGTATTGCAAAAAGGACTTTGGTAAGGAGTTTATGAATTATTTAAAACATTCCTCAGTTAACCCTTTTACGCGGGGACGTGTTGCCGGCGACACATCCAAATTTGCAGTACCGTAATTCCGCCACACATAGCGCTATCTGAAAAATTCCAACGGTTTCTGAAAGGGGAGGCGTTGCCCTTTCCAGCAAGTATCGGGTTAATACGGCAACTTCACAGCTGCAGCTGCAGAGAGGTAATTAATCCGGGGGGCACTCGTTTTATAGACGGCATATTGCGAAAATAACTTGCTGGATATTGAAAGTTCCAGTTGTTATCGATACATGGGTAAGTATATCATCTCACAGGACATTTAAAGAACTACTTACAATTAAAATAAGGAAGGTTTATTTAGGCAGACGCTTGAAACTCCGGCGTAAAAGGGTTAAAACATCAGACAGATGATTCCTACAGTAAGAAAAGCCTTGAAAACATTTAGAGACAACAGCACCGTTTGGTTAATGGAGCAGAAAAGTGAAAAGATTTCTTTCCAAGTTCAGTTCCGACTTTAAGCACTGAAATTAAAAAATAAGTTTTCACAACCAGCTTCATGTTCCACAATCTTTATTCAGTTTCTAAACGTCTCAGTTTATTTAGATGCTAAAAGGTCCTCCAAACTTACATCCATCAGCTGTTCTCTATCGGTAAGATACTGACTGAGGCAGCTACTCCACACAACCCCACTCTGTATAAAGGGAACTATCCAACAGAAGTCACCATTTCTTGTTTATTTCTGTGGCAGTGTTTCGCGGCAGAGTTCTGGGGAAGCTGTACCGAGGCGAGGAGACGCGCTACGACGTCCAGATCATCCACACGTACCGGAACCGCTTCCGGCTGGAGCACCGCGAGTTCCTGTGGGTCCCGAACCTGTGCGACTGCCCCGACCTGCAGCCGGGGAAGCAGTACATCCTGATGGTACGGCGGCACATCAACTACGAGCGCACGCTGAACCGCATCCTACTGGAGGAGGATAGCTACGTGGTTCCGTACCGGCCCAGAGAGGACGAACTGCTGCGGCCGCTCCAGAGGCTCTGCAGCAACAGAGGGATGAAAAGTCCTGCAGAAATAGACGAGGCGGTGTAGTGTGAGAGCGCCAGGCGCAGGCTGACGCGTCATATTGTTGGTTTCATGTGTGAACTTTAAAACGGAAGAGTTGAGGAGCCGCTCGGCTTCACTGGAGGAGGAAACGGGAACTTTTCAGGTTTTACTCTGAAATCTGCAGGGCCGGTCCAAAGCAATGCGAGTTTAGGGCTGATTGGGGCCTCCACACCACCAAGGGCCACCAAGAGCACCAAGCTAATATATATGTTTAAAAATAATACAAACTAAATTTTATTACATGTGGAAAAACAAATGTTTTGGTTAATACCGTCCTGTTTTCTGCTGCCTCTGTTGGGGAAATATAAAATCAAACTTGTCAACTTGTTTACTGTAATTTAGTGTTTGCCAGCTGAAGTTACTTTGAAATACTTAAAATATAAGACACACTTCAATACACTGCAAAAACAAAAAATCTTACCAAGTATTTTGTATTTTTTGTTTATAGTGCAAATATCTTAGAACACTTGGAATAAAACAAAACTAACTTTTCTGAAACATACAGGAGCTTCTTTTAAGTTAATAATGCCTTAATGTTGATGAAAAACTACTTGTTCCATTGACTGATTATTTCATTTGTAAAATGGGAAAAAAGTAAAATAATCTGCCAGTGGAACTCAAACATTTTCATCAATATTAAGAAATTATTCACTTGCTGAAAAGTTAGTTTTGTTTATTAACAAGTGTACTAAGATATTTGCACAGAAACTAGACAAAAATTACTTGCTAGGATTTAGTTTTTGCAGTGTACCACAATGCATTTCAAAGTCCATTTGATTTTTTTAGTTTGCTGCTCCTGTAAGGTTAAAATCAGCAGCCATAGTAACACTGGTATGGTGTAAGCTGATTACAAATGATGCTAATGTTAGCATCATGGGAGTGAAGAATCACCTGGTGTTGTCATGTAGGTTTGGCCCCTCCCCAAAGAAAAATCTGCTTAGGGCCCTGAAAAGTCTTGGACCGGCCCTGGAAATCTGACACATTCTGAATGCAGAGAACAAACGCCATGGTTATTTAAGAGACTAATTAAAGCACTTTAGGTGGGAGCGACGCGACGCCCACCTTAAACAAAAACCAAGAGAAGGACAGTTGGACTGAAAACAACCTTTTTCTCATTACTGTTTTTCCACAGCAACCTCTTAGTTTCCGTTCTGTACAGTCTTTGTCTCGTTATCCACTTTTAGATTCAGCTGCAATTCATTTTACTGAGTTTCCTTCCTTTGACACATTACAGATGTTTTTTGTTTTTTTTTTCACTTTTTTGCAGCAAATATTTGTAGAAGTTGCAGCAGCAAATAAGGATAAGTCTGGAGGTTTTATACAGCTTTTAAAATTCAGCATTTTTGGTCTAATTCAAACCAAACAGTAGACTTAAGGTTTATGAAAAGGTTTCTGTCGATATTCGTAAGGCTGGAGATACTTTAAGATGGCAGAAATGCACTTTGTTCCACTCTGATGGATGTTAGTTTGCAAACTGATCTCACTTTTAAAGAGGCTAAACGAGACACAGACGGCTTCCACTCGTCCCCTTTGGGCTTCTATTCATATATTTGTGGGATGATTGTAAAGAATTGAGCTGCAGTTACTTTAAAAAGATGAACTTGTGCAGAAATTAGATTTTATTGCAGGTTGTTTATACTCCCACACAGGCTCAGCTGCGCCTTGTCATGGCTGGTGCCAGCAGTTATAAACGAGGTGAGACGTTTTAACCTCAGTTTAACGATCACAATTGAGTGTACTTGATTTTTATTTTGTTTGCAGCATAAAACTGATGGAAAAGTTCAATTCAAACAGCTGCTGGGAAAAAACCAAGGATCCAAGAAGATGCAAAACACAAAAAATCCATAGACTGGAATCTGCAGCTACATAAATGGAGAAACTAAACATCTTTACTTGACTTGTAACAAAATATTTTTCCCACATTTTAAGTTAAATAATCTACCAGTTAATCAATTTTAAGGAATTATTGACAGAATAAATCTTGTAAACATCCATCGTCCATGATGATGTCAGATATTGACTGTTAACCTCTCAACATAACCGAGTTTTCTCCTTAAGAATCAGGAAAATGACCTGGAAGTTTCTCAAGAAAATAACTTTCATCGCACCTTAGTGAGGTTCTTTATGAAAGCAAGCATTAAATTATCGCATCTTTTACCAAAGATTTCATTCATTCTCAACTGGATTTCCAACAGATTTCATCTCAGACTTTCCTCTTTGTGAGAACGATTGTCTAAAAGACTGAATCCATTTATTCTGATCTTTACAGTCTAACCAGAGGAAGCTGCAGTTAAAACTTTTCTCATTGTGGCCTTAAGAGTTTCCATCATTGCTTCATTTTTTTGCATGTTGAACAAAGGAGCAGCTTCAGCGGTGAAACAGGAAACAATCATTTAGTGAAATGTGGGCGTGGCCTGTTGCTGCGGCTCATTCTGGAACATTTCTGTTATTGAAGAGATTTACCACAAATGAAATATGTTTGTTTTTCTGGTTCAGTGTCTTTCTGTCTGAATCTGGACACATTATTTCTATGTTATGTAACGGCGTTCATACTGTATTTTGCTTATTTGTGGTACTATTTTATGCAGTGATATTTTCTGTGTTGCATTGAATAAGTTGAGCTATTTGATGTTTTACATGAGAGATATATTTAATTATACAGTATTTTTATTGCGTGGCACTGATTAGCTGCACAGTTTTAATCAGAATGATACTAAAGGGGTGTAACGTTGTGCCTTGTTTTATAATCTGTAGCGTCTTAAAATAGTGCTAAAAGTGTTTATTTCTCTGCATTAATATGTTACTAAAATAACAAAAATAAATATTGAGTGCCAATGTAAATACTTTTTCAGAAAATCCAACATATGTTAATGTTCTTCTGTTGTAAATTTGAGATTTTGGACCTGCAGCAAATCAGAGACAACAATCATAAGAAAACATTTTATTTACAAAAATGCTTTGCATCTACAACAAATAAAAGACTAAAATCAACCCATGTGAGCCTGATTCCTGCTCATCAGCAGTAAAAAAACAAAAAAAAGTCATTGCAGACACTCGGCTCAGTTTCCTTCCAGGAACGGAGAAATGAAACCAGTTGACTGTAACGTCTGAGTGAACGTTTCTATGAAGAAGCTGCTTCTGCTTTATTAATAAGACAAATTCAGGAGGCAAAATAACAACAAAGTGTAATCTACCTCTGCAGCTCATTTTTATTTCTTAAAAAACTGTTTTTCAGTTCATTCTGTCCATAAAGTTTTTCATTTACAGTTGTAAAAATATATGTAAACAAGAATTTTTCCCATCTGTATAATGAATAAAACTGAAATATACACTATAAAGCAATATTAACGCAAACATGACTTTTATTTTACCGTTTCCTTCATTGTATGTTTCCGTTTAGCTGCCTTTCTGTCAATCGGGTAAAACTCTGAAGCTTTTACTAAATGCAGACACTGATGTTGGACATTTTAAGGTTTAATTTAAAAATATGAGATTTCTTTGGCTTAAAGTCAAAGATGTTAGACAGAAAAGTTTATGTTTTTGACCAGGAGCTGCATGAATAAATTTGTATTCAGTTTGTATTCAAAAGCTGAAATTTCTGATGGGACTTTATCGTATGAGGGGGAAAAAGTCGCAGGTTATGAGCGACACATAACCTGCGACTGATCATGAAAAATGCAAATAAAAGCATAAAAATAAGTGAGTCTGGATCTTTAACGGTTCTGGAAAATCAAAGAGTTTCAGTTTAAGGGCTGGGCGATAAATTTATTTTATCAATCAATTGAATTTTTGATTTTTGAAAATTTAATTTTTCAGCACGTCCAGGGCGGCCATCTTGTTTACCAGCTTCTGTTTGGACTCAGGTCAGCTCTACAGTCAGGCTAAGATGTTTTCTTTTTTCATTTCAATTACAGGAATACAGTTGTAGTAATACAAGAATAAAGTCTAATGACAATAAAGTCGAAATGATATTAGAATAAAATCTTAATATTTTGAGAAAAAAGTTGTAATATTAGGAGATTGTTATTTTATCAGAACTCTCACACAAACAAAAACAAAAAGTTTTTTCTCCTTAAAGTCACTTTTTTCAAATAATTTTAAGATATTTTCCAGTAAAATTGCATCTTTATTCTCCTAATATTGTAACTGTATTGTAGTAATTAATCAAATATTATCGTAGGCCCAAATACTCCATCTAACAGCTCAAAGAAGAGATGATTGAAATAAAATCCACTTTTTGAAAATGTTTTCTGTCCTGTGAAATTTCTTTTTCAGAAAAGAATGTGAAAAAACAAAAATCTACTAAAATTGAAAATTGGATCTGGTATAAAAATAATTTGAGATTTAATTTTTAAGCCGTGCTGCCCAGCCCTATGTTAGCGTTCAGACACCATCGTTCATTTCAGGATGAAGCGCGCTCATCCACCAGAGTGACGGATTTCCAAATGAAGCAGCTTATCTCACGATATTCTGCACAGGTTCCAATTCTCACATTTTTAAAAACCTTTTCTCTACTCCTTCTCATTTAAATGCTCATCATGTTTGATACAGTGACATCTAGTGACAAAAACTGGGATTGCAACAATCATGCAACAGTAAAAAGAAGCGCACACATCCCCAAATTGTTCAGAAACGGTTTGCTGGAATGAAAAGTGGATACAAACAGAAACCTGTTGTACTTACTGATGATGTATTAACAGATGTCTTAATGTGAGGGAATAAAAATACATTTCTGAGGACTGTGAAGTGTGTGGCCTGAGGTGGGACGAGTTTTCACAAGATTTCTACATGATCAGATGATCAGAGGACAAAAAGGCTGAATAAAATAATCTAAGTGTCGGGTTTGTTCCTCTGCTGTCATGTTACAGCAAACATCTAGACACAGGCTGTCTAAATATTGGAAAGAAATGATCATAAAAAATACTATCACATTTCAACAGTAAAGATCTAAAATGTGCACATTATTTCAGATCCCGGGAAATACACTGCAAAAAATCAAAATCTTACCAAGTATTTTTATCTACTTTCTACTGCAAATATCTTAGTACAATTAAACTAACTTACAAGTAACTTTTCAGCAAGATATAGAAATTTGCTTAAAGTTAATAATTCCTTAATATTGATGAAAAAGAATTAGTTCTGCTGGGAGATTATTTCATACATAACTAGACTTTTTCCCCTGATCTTAGATAACTAATAGTCTTTCATCAATATTAAATTTAATTACTGACTTTAAATAAGCTCCTGTTTCCTGTAAGTTAGTTTTGTCTTTTTTCAGGAGCTCTAAGATATTTTCACTAGAAAGTAAAGAAAAATACTTGGTAAGATTTTGTGTTTTTTCAGTGTACGTTCCTCTCCTCCGGCTCCCTTTGGCAATTCGTTCTGAGAGTTTGAAAGTCACAATCACGTCCCTGACTGTGGTTGAGTGCAGCCATCTGGCACGGTGCTCGGCTCTCACTCTCACTCTGTGAGTGTGACGCCAGCGGCCTCCAGAGCGTCGCGGCCGACCCGCTCCGCTCATGTTCGGCTGTGTTGGGGCGGCGCTGACGGTGTCACACGCTGACGCTGACGTGGCGGCAGGACGCAGAGCGGCGTTTGATGCGGGAGCGGCGCGGCCTGGACTCGTTCTGGCAGCTGCACAGCGGGCCCAGCAGCAGCCACAGGTAGAGGATGACGCAGGCCCAACAGGACGACATCTTCACCCAGAAGGTGGACCAGCAGCCGTGGGTGAAGGTGGTCTCCAGCACCGCCGACTCGTAGCTGCAAGAGGACGGCAACATTCAGAACAGGAAGTCATGACACAATGAGGTTAAAGGCCACCTGTTACACTTTTATATCGCCCATCTGAACAGATGAAGATGGGCGATGTAAAACATGTTCATGCCTTATTTTGCACAAAATCATTCTGAGATAATGAGATTATTTTGAGATTATTTTGAGATTATTTTGAGCTCCTTTCGGGATGAGCAGTTTTAGTATGACATGTATTAAGGCCAATGTAAATTGAAAATGAAATTTCTTCCAAAAAACTCAGAAATTCTGAGATTTATCATTGAAATTTGGTATAAAAAAAACGTGGAAATTTCTGAGCTGTTAAAGTGGAAAATTTGAAAGAAAAAAAATATAAAATTTTTAGAGGAATCGCAGAAATTCTCTTGAAAACAGGAAAACGTTGAGCTCTGAAAGTTTAAATTTTGCTAGAAAAAAATTTTGAGTTCAAGCTCAGAAATTTTCTAGAAATGATATTGAAAGTTCTGAGCTCAATGAGTTGAAAATTTGCTATTTTTTTTTTTTATAATTTTAGATTAACATCAGAAATTTCTGAGTTTGAAAAGTCAAAAATTTGCGAGAAGAAAACCCTTCAAATTTTGAGAAGAATCTGATAAATTTTCTACAAAAATCTTGGAAATTTATGAGGTTGGAAGGTCCCACAATTTCAACTTTTGGAAATTTTCAAATTCAAAAATGTTACACTTTATGAGTTCAGACAAGTTCTGAGTTTTGTAAAGAAAATGTCTGAGCTGGATCTCAAAATTTTTTTTTTGGAGGAAATTTACTCTTATTTGTTTCTTCTATTTACAGTCGTCCTAAAATGTTGTATTTTTACAGCGTCCTTCAATTTAAATCCAAATGAGCTGCCGCTGGCCGCGCCCCTAACTCAGCACTGACGCCTACATGAGAAAATTTCTGCAAACTGATATATAGTTATATAACAACCGTACATCTGTGAAAAACATAAGTTGAGCCTCCTGCACAATCAAGTGGTTTCTGGATGGTGAGTTAACAACAAAACACCTGTCTTTTCCAGCAGCCATTGTACAGCGCATAGAGCAGATAAACCAGCTGACCAAACATGCTGGAGCTCAGGTGGGGTTACCAGGTTACAGGGCAGCTGATTTTCGACGTTACATTTGGGAGGTTTTTGAAACGGCTCATTTTCTAGACCCCCAAAAACATTAACTTATTGAAAAGAAAAGTTTTTCTTGGTGCTTGGTCTGTTTTTAGAAGCAGTTGATACACAAATGGAAGTAAGAAAACATGCAAAATTTGTGCCCATTAAAACAAAACGGTTCCCGTCTTACCTGAACCAGTTAGTGAGGGTCATCATGACGTACAGCGACGCCAAGAAGAAGACGAAATGGAAGAAGAAGTAGCTGTACGCCACCCGCTGCGTCTCATTATGAATAACCTTCTGACAGCCTTTGTTGTCATCATCAACCACAAACTCATCTTCAACTGGAAAAACGATGAAAATATCAAAATTTTAAAACTTCTGCAATAAAATACTTAAACTGCATTAAATCTAACAACTGAATATGTTTTAAATGTGACCTAATGGTGCAACAGATTACAAACAAAATATGTTATTAACAGGCTAAATATTTAGACTGTTATATTTATAAATGAATGAGTTTTTTTCTCATATGACCTAAATTTTTGCTGTTAGTTTTTGACTGTGTAACTTTACAAACGGCACCTGAGAGTTAGATTTTATCAAACTAAAACTGCCTCAGTGTTTTAGTTTCACTGAGGATGACAGTAAATCGGACCTGCTTCTTCCTCTGGGCAGCAGAAGCAACACGTCGCTTTCTGGAACTCGTAACGATAAACTTTGATCATCCAGAACGGACCGAACACCTCGGCCAGATACGAAGCTTCATTACTGCAAAAAATGAAATAAATGGAAATGATGTGACAGCGTGAGTATTTGTCTAAAAACTCAGATGTTCTCTGCGGTGTAAAGTTTGGACTCACCAGGCAAACAGAACGCAGCAGTACATGATGGCGGCGCCGATGATGGCCACAGCGTTGCCCTCGTTCTTCATGCCATCTTGCCCCACACTGGGGTAACAGACGGTCATGTTCATGCCCTGGTACACCACTGACACACACAACAACACAGCAGGGTTAAGTGCATGGATGTCCAAAGTGTGGCCCCACATAGAATCTGTGTGGGGCCCCACACAGATTCTATGTGGGGCCTTGATTCCAGAATGGAATAAGATGTAGCTAAGCTGGTATGCAAAACGACATTAAAAAATTTGATTAAAAAATAGATTCCCAATAATTAGCAATGTTTTTGCTTTCGTTTAAGCTTTGGAGAAACTAGAACCAAAAATGTCGACCCACTTTTACTCAAATCTACAAGCCAAATAAAAAACAAAATGCTTGAAACTGTTGGTGTACAAAACCTTTTTATGTTTTACATCGACAATGATTTACATATTTATATACACGCATATATGTTTTCAACAAAACATCCGACTATGTTGTTCATTTTAATTCAATTTTATGCTTAGTTTATTATAGAGCAAATAAAATTTAAAAAGGCAGAAAAAATAGTTTTAAAGGGGCTGTATTTATGTTGTGGTGCCTTCCTGAAGGAAGAGTAGGAGTTTCTTAAAGAGACGGCGTTACATTTCTTTAAAGTCATCCCTGATGTATGTAGCATTTTTATAACAGCTGAAGGTAAAATAATTACTGTTTTGTGCCGTAAAATTACACAGTGTAGCTGGAAAACATCATATACTTTGTGGTTCTGAAGTGCCTTCAACTTCATAATTTCATCTCTCATGGCAAAAAGTTTGGACACCCTGGTTTAGGGGGAAAAAGGCTGTAAGATGGGAGCAAATGTGTTTTTTATCGTAACTTAATTGAGGAGCAGACAAGCTGCAGCACAGGGTGGCTTTATCGATTCGTTCTCCATTTAATACGAGAGAAATTCCTTTCTTTCTTGTAAAAGGGGCCTCAGCTGTAGCTTCCCCGTCACACACGCCCTCTGACACTCGTAAAGATGCTTACACACACACACACACACACACACACACACACACACACACACACACACACACACACACACGGTCAGGCACAAACCAAACTCACAAATACTCCGATACTAAAATCCAGAGATCCCATTGAGTTTCCAGAGGGTCGTTTCACAGATTCCCCAGGGAAACGGGAAACGTAGCTAACAGCAAATGTTTGCTCGAAATTCAATCTTTGCCTGATTTTCATTTGAGCATCAATAATTGCTTATATTGTTTCTCTCGTTTCTCTGAGAAATGGACCACATAACGTTTATTAGAAGACCAGGATGAATCATTCCCAATTAAACGCAAAGTCCTGAAAGTATCAGCAAAGCACAGAGGAAGAATCAGCTTTTAGAAAATGAAAACATATAGAGGTGAAAAACTGACTCAAGAACTCACCTGGAAATGCAATAATGTGTGTAAACTGTAAAAACACAAAATCTTACCAAGTATTTTTGGTCTAATTATAGTGCAAATATCTTAGTAGAATGGAAATACCACAAAACTAAATTACAAGTAAATTTTCAGCAACAGCTATGAGCTTGTTTTAAGTAAATAATTTATTTAATATTTATTAAAAAGTTCTAGTTCCATTGGCACATTATTTTACTTGTAACAAGAGAAAATTTGTTTTGCTATAAGTGAAATAATTTGCCAGTGGAATCTGAAGTTTTTCAGCAATATTAAGGATTTTTAAAAATCTAAAACAAACTCCCATGTCCCGCTGAAAAGTTACTTGTAAGTAAGTTTTATCTTATTTCAAGTGCAATACGGTATTTAAACTAGAAACTGGACCAAAACACTTGGTAAGATTTTATGTTTTTGCAGTGTTGGGCCAAATTTCACCCAGTGAAAGCAAAAATCTTTTTACTTTGATTTTAGTGCTCTGGTGTTCTTAGAAGATATTTGGCACAACATTTATAAGATATTTGTAAATCAGAAACCAGACCAAAACTACGTGGTAAGATTTAGTGTTTTTTGGTTTGTGTTGGTGGCTTTGTGAGCGGCGTTAGAAAAATGTTTTTTTAAAAGGCCTGGAGCGTACATATTTTCCCAACATGTTGCTACAACGCTCTGCACTGCTGACACACACACACACACACACACACACACACACACCTACATACAGTCACTGATTTCCAACATGGCTGAGTGTGTTGGAGTGGAGGTGAAATGGTTAAATCTGACCCCAATTTCAGGTAAAATGAGTCTAAGATATTTGAACTAGAAACTGGACATATTTGGTAAAATGTTATGTTTTTGCAGTGAATGAGTAAAATTATTTAGTAGTTGACTGACATGATAAAACTAAAGCACTTTCTCTTTCAATTTATGGATCTGAATCTCTAAAAAATACTTTAATAACTTTAATATTTGATTTTTTTCTTTTGATTAGTGCAGGTTTTAGTGGAAATATTTTAGTACAATAAAACAAAAACACCTTGAAAGTGATTTTTCATCAAGATAGAGGAGTTTGTTTTAAGTTAATAATTCCTTAATATTGATGAAAAAGTTCTAGTTCCACTGGAGCCGTTACCTAGCAACGCCAGCCAAGCCCGTCACCTAGCAACCCAGTTCTAGTTCCACCTGCAGATTACTTCACTTGCAACAAGAGAAAAATGTCTTACAAAGAAACAAAAAAAAAAAACATTTTTCCAATGTTATAAGTGAAGTAATCTGCCAGTAGAACTAATACTCTTTAATCAATATTAAGTAATCGTTACATAAAATAAATATTTGCACTTGAAAATAGACCAAAAATGCTTGGTAAGATTGTGAGTTTTTGCAGTGTAAGTACAATATTACTGCTGATTTTTATGCACAGTTTGGTCATATTGAAGTTTTTTCTTATCTTGTTATGTAGGTGACACAAAATCTGATGAACAAATATAACAAGCAGCAAATTCAGCAGCTTTAAAACACGTTTATTAAGCATTTTTCTCCTTCTATCCGGACGCTGTTTATCTCTCTCCTCCTCATCATGACACGCTGTGTAAGAACGCGTGTAATGACACTGCTGGATGTTTTCCTCTGCTATTACGCTGTCAGTGGTTTGTCAGAGGAATGTGAAACAAACATCTTTCCGTCTGCTCCGCTTGCAGAAAGTCTGCATGTCGCAGCACATCTCAGCCCGGTTATCTGCGCTGGTGTCTGTATGTTTGCATGAGATGAAAGTCCTGATAAGATGGGCGGGGGCCTGTAACCTGCACTTACATCGTCATCATTAAAGAGCTCTTTGTCTCTCCTGAGGCCAGCAGGTGAGTCATTAGCAGAGAAGAAAGGGAAAACAAAGGCGGATAACCGGAGTCTTCATGTGTTGGCTCCGTATGTTTTCACATTTTAAATGCTGAAGTAAAATATTAGATCCCAAGAAACGATTGAGAAGGAAATTAGGAATTAAAGGAATTAAAAGTAAAATTGTTTGACATGCAACAATGTGGAAAATCCTCCCATTAAAAGTAAAGCTTGTACCAAGTAAAGTTACCAAGTAAAGCTTGGTAGAGAAAGTGTGATGCTGTGGGCCTGTTTGTGTTGAAATGACTGTTTAAAAGTGACTCATTATGCTTCCTTGACCAGGTTAAGATAAATCTATGGCCGATACAAAACACGTTCATTACATTTTTTCTATGAAATGGTGAAAATGGCTGCGAACAGATGAGCTACTGAACAACCATATGTCTTTGAAGAACAGAAGTGGAGCCTCCTGCACAACTAACAAAAATGCAGCAAGTGGTTTCTAGTCAACAACAAAACACTTGTCTTTTCCAGCAGGCATTGTACAGCAAACGGCAGTAAAACCAGCTGACCAACTCTGCTGGGGTTGCTAGGTAACGGGCGGAACTCTGCTGGGGTTGCTAGGTAACGGGGTAGTGCCAGCTGAGTTGTGACGTTACATTCTGAAGGTTTTTAGAAACGGCTCGTTTTCCAGACACCAAGAAATATTAATTTATTAACGAAACTGTCTGGGTGTTTTTTTTTTAGCTCTTTGACTGTTTTTAGAGCAGTAGAAACCCAAATGGGAGAACAAAAATATGAATTTTACACAATAGTCCGCCTTTAAGATGAAAACCTGATGGCATTAGAACAGATGATTGAAAATGAGTCGACTTTTAGGAGAATAAAGAGCTAAAACATTTGGCAAAATCAACCCAAAAATACTTCAGCAGACACAAAATCATCTTTTTTCTACAGCTTTCTCTGTTCCAGCACCTGAATTCTGTAGAAAGGTTGAGAAAAGCGTAGAACTGATTTTTTTTTTTTTTTTTTTTAGCTATTATGCAGTAATACCCATTTCTCTCAGCAGGTGGTAGACTTTAGCCTTTCAGTGAGATTTTATTTCTCAAAATTGAAAACTAATCAGTTGTAGTCTATCAAAAAATAATATGTGAATAACATAATATGTTTTTCAAAAAAGAAAAAGTTTCAAGTAAAGCAAACACCTTAAAACAATAAAATACGTGTTTAGTTCCAGGGTTTTTTGTCTTGTTGGGTCAAATGCTGGCCCACAGGTTAAATATTTTACCCAAAAGGCCATAAAGAAACACCTAAAAGTTAACCCTGACCTCTGACCCTTTAGAGATAGTAAACTGACAACAAGACAGAAACGGAGAGTGAATCCAGATGCTGGGAAGGTTTTGTTTCGCCTGAGGAGCTAAGATGCTAACAATCATCTAAAAAAAGATGCAATGCTGAGCAGATCTGCAGAGGCAGCAGCCAGAAAATAATTATTTTAATAAAATATAATGTGGGATTCTTCTCATTAGAATCATGATTGATAAAAATTGGCTCAGGAACGATACAGACCCTCTTCCACGTGTTTCTGCATTAGTTTTCTTAAAGAGAAGAAGCCTTGAACGTGGATGCTAAGTGTCGGCAGCTTCCTTACCTTTCTCTGGCGGACGGCTGGACAGAGCGGAGAAGGTGAGGTACATGACGTAGCAGCTGATGATGGAGGCCTGAAGCAGCCCAGAGCGAGGCTGTTCTGCTTAGAAACAACATTAAAAAACCTTTAAATCACCAGAGATGCACTCATTTTGATAAATAAAAACCTAATCTTGCTTTTATCAGCTAGTTTTGTCTTATTACAAGTGCACTAAGATATTTGCATTAAAGTAGAAAAATACTTGGTAAGGTTTTGTGTTTTCGCAGTGCATCTGACCTAAATCAGTAACTGATTTAATGCCAGTCAGTGAAGGAACTATGTAAAAACATGCCGTCTGCTGAGTTGCAGGTTTGAAGGTGTGGACGGTTCCTGTCCTCCGTCAGACTCACTCTGCTTGACGCACGGCGTGACGGCGATGAAGGACATGAGGCCGCAGAGCCCCAGGTTGACCCACAGCAGGACCTTGTTGAAGTGGCAGGCGATGGGGTGTGTGTAGTACTTGTACATGAAGGTGAAGGCCATGGTGGCGATGGTGTAGAAGAAGAGCGTGGCGCACATCACCGCCAGGTACCAGCGCTTGTTTTCTGCTGCTCCCGTCAACCTGACGGACAAAATAATGGAGGAATTAAATTTAAATTAGCGGAGACCTAACTTTTTGTCAAAAAGCCCCGACCTAAAATCGTCAGACATTTAGTGATTAATCTAAGGAATTTTCTAGAAAACACTTGGAAATTTTCTGAGTTTCAAAAGTCAAAATTTTGGCAATTTCCAAATTTTTTTGTACAAAATTTGATTAATCTCCAAATTTCTGAGTTTTTTGTGGAAATTTGCTCATATTTTTCTCTATACTACAGCTGTGGCTCTGTGGGTAGCGTGGTTGTTTTGTGATCAGAAGGTTGTAGGTTCAATTCCTCCTTCCTCATGTCAATGTGCCCCTGTGCAAGGCACCTAACAGGCCTACTGACCTGTGTATTGGTATATAAGAGTGTGTGTGCGAATGGGTGAAAGTCAATCTAATGTAATGTGCTTTGAATGGTCAAAATGATTGGAAAAGTGCTATATAAGTTCAGTTCATTTACAATTTTGCACATCTGCTGGATTAAAAGAAAGAAAAGTCTGGCAGCTTGAAATTCAAAGGATTTTTTTTATTTCTGCATCTCTCAGTTTCTATTTCCCAGAATGAAAATTTCTGCTGCAGCTCATCTCGTTCTGACTCACCAGTTTTTGTTCCAGGTGTGAGCAAACGCCGTGATGAGGATGAGCTGGATGAGGATGAAGGCAAACCCTCCCACCACACCAACATAATGCCAAGCTGGGAGTGGAAATCAGAGGAAAACAAGCGCTCAGATAATTTATGGAAGCGATAATATAATTCAGCTCTGATATCAACCACATTTATGGTTCCCAACAGAAGGAAAAACACGCTGGAAAGATTTATGATCCTATGACTAATTCTCCTCAGGGATTCTGAGCGCAGACCGCTGCTGCCCTCCAGCGGCGTTTTAAAGGAAGTGCATCTGGATCATAGATAGAAGTACTTTATTTATCCCAACCGGGAAATTACTGTACGGTTGCAGCATACACATACACACAGATCAAATTACAATATGAAAAATAAAAATAAAAATAAGATAAATTGCTCACCGTGCAGGAAGGATTCTGTCGGGATGAAGAAGGCAGCAGTGCACATCCCAAGCAAGGTGATGAACTTTAAAAACCAAAACCTAACAAAAAATAAAAAATAAAAAAACTTCAAAAACTGTACAGAGCATATTTTAGCAGAAAAATTACAATAAGTTTTATTCAAGCATTTAAATAAATAGAGAACCAGACAGAGCGGTAGAAACTCACTAAATTATTTTTTAAATAAATTAATTATTAGTTTAGAGTCATAAACCTTTTCATTTTGGGTCATATAAAAATTATTAATCTTCTCAAAGAGTCGGTTGAACCAGAATGTATCAATAAAATCCATCAGCTGCTAAAATATTAAGAAATATCTGTGTTTGCATTTGATAAGTAACTTCAGTATTCAATACCTTATTTAGGTCAAATAATATTGAACATATTTTCCAACAGGCAACAATTGGTATTTCCTTCATAACTTCTGTGTTTGAACCACCTTGCTGCTGAAATGTGCCATACAAATATACTTGATTGATTGATTGATTGATTGATTGATTGATTGATTGATTGATTGATTGATTGATTGATTGATTGATTGATTGATTGATTGTCAAATCATTTCCTTTTTGTGATTTTTTTCAGTCAAATTCACTGATTTTCTGGTGCTACTTTAAAAATATTTCAAAAACTTCTGCCACATTTTGATAAATGGATCTATAACGTGTAGAAGTAAGAAATACCGCCATCTGCAGGTGGGAGTTTAAGACAGCGTATTGGTGCAAATGTAGATAGAAAAAAACTCAGAAATTTTAAATCTAAAGTCTAATCTTTACATTTTTCAGCAAAAAAAAAAAAAAAAAAA